GCAGACTCTTTTTTAAATTCTTACTCAACTTCTTTTACTTTCCTTTCACCTCTTCCTTTTTATTTTCATACTAGTGTCTTCGTATCCACATAGCTGTTGTTTTCCCCTCTCTTGCTCTTTTTCTCCCCTTCTCATACTCTCTTACTCATTTTGTCATTTTACTGACTCCCTCCATCTTTCCACATTTCACCAGTACCATTTTTAGCTCTCTTCTCCCCCTGCACATCTCTCTGTATGAGAGACAAAGCAAGAGAAAGTTACTTTTGTCCCCCCACAGTCATGTTTGTACCTGTGTGTACCAGGGGAACTGCAGTGATGTGCTTGCGAGTGCATTAATAATTCCGGAAAGAATGCTGCCCCGGGTTGTTCCAGCACAGTTCCTGGGATGCCCACATCCTCACATTGGTGCCACTGTGACATAGACCAGGCCTGATAGACCCTTCATACTGGTACGGTCAGTCAAGAAAATAAACACCAATATGTAACTTCAGCTATACCTGAGTAATTCAAGCCCTGATGCTGTAATGAGCTGTGCTTCCAAATGGACTGTTCATAATTTGTTATATCCCAAGTATCTATCCCGTAGGGAAATTTCAGCCATTTTTCTTTACCCAAGTTACTCCTGTCATGTCATATTATTACTGGAAGAGTTTTCAGAATTATTAGACTTCCGACAGGTTGCAGAATGGTGTGTTTTATACAGTCCTAAATTGATCGTATTTCTCCTAGGCTCCTGTTTTTATTTTGGACATTACACAAACTCTATAGAAACTCCGTTGTCCAACACCTTTGTATGCCATTTTGGCTATAGCAGCTATGTGTCTTCTTAGTCTCAGCAGAAAAATAATCTTTAATAGACAATTATATTCTGAAACAAAACATGATTTTTCTTTTTTTGAAGGCTTATACATGCTTCTGGGTTGGTTTTTTTTTTTAGCAAAGCCTGAATGGGTAGGCACCCAGATCCAGTGGTACAGTAACAGAGATTGGGTACCTAATACCTTTCTGACCCTTCAAAAACCTTATTTCATAGAGGGGTTCACTTGGCTGTGCCTGAGTGTGTGCCCCTATATACAGGGCTTCTGCAGTAGGGCGAGTGGCGCGTGATTAGGCACCAAATTGTCAGACACCAAATCCAAAGCTTTGTGGCAAAACCCTCAACAAGTAGACGGTTCTACCATGTCTCCACTAAGGGCATATTTGGCTTTTTTGGATTGACAAAGGAATCCAGTTTCAGGGCCAAAATGTCTTTCACAGGAGATAATGTACCAACCATCATCACTGAGCCTGAGTACTCCTTGGCTGCTTGTGTGATACGTCCAGCATCATAGTTCACATTTCAGGTAGATAATGCCCAATCTGTGGAGCTTTAAAAATCAATTCTACCACTTCACATTGCCCCCAGAAGCTGATAAAAGTCCTGGGAAAATGGTGGTTTTTCATTCTCAGTTTCAATCAGTGTTCCCAGTTCTTCTGAGTTAAGTCCAAGGGCACCACCGACTAAAATGTTTGCCTCTCTCAGCAAGAGTCTACCTTGTGCAGTCACCTTTTTGGAACTATAAGTATGTGTAATTCACTAAAATATACCAACCAACCCAGCTACCGTAACACATTCATACCTATTGCCACAGGGCCTGTGGTTTTCTTTATTAGGTATTCATTTATTATCAGTTTAAATAATCACATTTTGCAAAAGGCCAATCTCTGTAATGCAGAGGACAGAACTGCAAGTGGCCCTGCGGTCTTGGGGCATCTAGACCTCCCAAAAGCTTCTCTTGGAGCTTGAGTCTATGTGGCAACACTCGAGTGGAAGCTTATCTTTTATCAGATAAATATCGTTGTCAAGTTGAGTCAGGTTGCCTCTGCTATATCCCAGAAGCAAAACAAGGATGATAGTGGGTTTATGCCACTGTATCCTTGGGAGAGACCACTCCATGGAGATTCTCTGAAGAGCACTTACTGCTCCATCTGTACATCCAGAGCCAGAAAAACAGAAGGTGGTTTGTCCTCATGGTCCCCACTGGCCCTAGTATTCCTATTAACAGGAAGATAACCATCCCTGTGAAAAATCCACTCTAAATTTATGATTTCAAAACAAAAATACAGGAAACAAATGCTAGCTGAAGGGAGAAGGACAGTGATTTAACTACCAGGCAAGGACAGGATTTGGTCAATCAAGGCACTGTTCCCATCTCTCCCGCTGTTCTTGTCTAGTCTTACAGGTATTTAGTCTGGACATTTCAAAACTTACTGCCTAGAATGATGGACCTTGAAAACCTATCTTGATTTACAAAAATGCAAAGGCTGGTGAATGCCAAAAAGGTTGGTTGGCTCCCCACTCTTTTCTGTCCATCCTTTCTCCGGGGATGAAAAGTCCCACAGTTATCGGGAGCCGCAGTATTGTCAGCTGCTGAATGGCTGGAGTGAGTACAAGCACACAATTTGTGGTATATTAACGATGAAAGAACCATTACAGATTTTCTTAAGAGTGCAAAAGTTCAGCCTTTAACAACACTTTTTCAAAATGGTGTTGGTGACGTGTTAAAGATGGCTACATCCCTCCTTTCATGAGCCTCGGAAGTCAGGCTAGTAGCACAGGCAAGATGTATATAAGCTTTATAGCTTTGTAAAACCCAGTTTGTTGTTTCTTTTTTTTTTTGTCAAAAGCTTCCTCAGCTCCAGAAGATGAATAACTGGTCACATCGGAGTGTCACAGTCTGAGTGCTATCAGAAAGAAATCAATATTTAATGCCTGCCAGTGCCTGCTTGGGTTTCATTGTGTGCTATCCACGGCATCGGTCATGTCCAGTAGCAGAGGCTTCAGCACATGAGATAAGGCCTCGATTTACTCGGCACTTTGGAAAGAATTAAGCCTGCAGCAAGCAGTTCAAAAACTCTGTTAACCTAAACGCTTATGCATACACACAGGCTGGGTTGTGCTTGACAAGCCGAAGGATCTCAAAATGTTGAGAGTACAGAAAGAGGCGTCTAAACAATCGTGTTTCCCTTTAACACAGGCAGGTTTTGAGATGCAAACCACAAAGGTAAAGTGGACAAGAGTAGGGATGGGAACTTTCAGCCGTTTGGTGAATTTAAGACATTTATCGATGTGGAAATGTCTATGCATGCTACACCAGTATTTCAAGGATTAAAGAGAGAGGGCTGATTATGAATTGCCTTTTTCCTTTGTTCTTGCTGTTTTGTGAGATGCTTAATGGGACGAGGTAATGTCAATGCAGATGAGTTCGCAGTTCCAGCTATCAAGGTGAACTCAGGAGAATTAAAAAACAAAACCCAATGAAGTTGAAATGCAGAATGGATTAAGTGCCGTCATGCAGTTTAACTGCCGTACGTATTAAAAGTGCCGGGTCACCCCACTTAAATTTAATCACATCGCTGAGGTGGCTAAGCTCGGAGCACCGTTGCCAAAGGCTTTCCGCAGGCAGGGGGAGCGGGTCACGCCAAGCCACACATTATGGGAATTTACAACCACCACGCTGCTCACTGGCATGTCTCAGGGAGGTAGCAGGCTCTTAGGCTGAACATTTTGAGGTAATTTAGAGCCAAGACCTGGTTTTATTTTTTGCGCTTTCAGTCACATTTCTGTTTCTTTTGTGAATGACACCATTTTTTTGCAAAGAATTTCCCAAAGGGTGTATTCTATTTTGCAAGCAGCCCCAGCTGACGGTGCAGTTATGAAGAGGTTCCTGCTGCCAGGGTCATAGAGCAGTCATTTATCAGCTTCTACTTTTTACTTCTTTCTGAAGTTGTTTTCCTTTTGGCTCGGAGTATCAAGCCCTACTGCGGGCTTATCTCCACCCAAATACATTTTTCAAGACACATGGCTTAGTTTCATTTCTGATTTAACCAAGCCTCACACACAACAACAACATGCCAGCATCCATCTGGAGACAGGTATGACCCAATCACAGGGATGGCAGAAATGTTTACATCCTTACAACATCCCTATTAGGTAGGGAAACGTTGTTATTCCCTGTTTACTGACAGGGAGTCAAGGTGCAAGGAAACTAAATGATTTGCCAGAGATCATACGGATGATTTGGAACGTAGCTAGGAACTGACTGCCAGGCTCCCTAGTACATCTTGTAACCCCAAGACATACATGTGTGACAGCCTGCCATGACATTGTGTGGGCATGATGGGTTTATATATGTATAAAATATACGTATGTATAAATTATAGACATATTTTAATTGTCTTCCATATAACAGACCATGACAACAAGAAAAAAAGATAGGTTTTATGAATAGCACAGAAATATTTCAGTCAAAAAAAAACCTTGAGAGAGGGTTTTTAAGGATGAGAAACAAATGTCTGACTAGATATTTGTAATTAAAAAGGAAAATAGAGCAATTATCTGTTTGCACAGAGATAATGTCTTGAAATATGTTAAATATTTTCCTACGGCCGTTATCAGGGAGAGTGTGGTCATGGCTAGATAAATTGCCTGGCAAAAGTACTGTGATTTGGATGTGGAGTAGAATGGTAAAATGCAGCTCTTTTTCCACATCGTTACCAATTTCTCAGTCAGAGGACTTGAAAAATCAAAAAGGAAAATAGGCGCTTGCTTCTAGTCAACTAACCACACTGATGAGATGATGTATTTTTTAAAAAAAAACCCAACCACAAAATCCACCACATTAGGCCTGATTTGGATCCCTTCTACACTAGTACACAACCAGAGCATTGCCAGTGAATTCACGCTGCACGGATACAGGCATACTCCCCAGGGAAGAACATGATCCAGAGAATGCGAAGATACTGTTTTATAGAGACAAAGTTTCACATGAAAGCTACTTTTTCTGAGGAACTAACCTTAACTAACCTATAGCTTCATTTGACTGTGGACATAGCAAACCACTTCCACCAGGCTATTGATTTACTTCATAGGTTATTATTGATTATTATTGATTTGATGGTGACTGGTCGCAAATTTATGCTGCTGAGAAACTGACTCGGTATCCTTTGAACTCCATTTGATGGAGATCAACGGCGAATGGATCGGGCCCCAGAGGTACAGAGAACTGCAGACAAAACGAAGTGGCCTCACGCTTTACTGTTTTTCTGCCCACCGTAATGGTACAACCTGCGCACAAGGAAACCCTGTGCCTCACAGTCCTTTCCTCCCTCTCTTCTTTTTTCAGATCGTTTACCCACCTGCCTGTGAAAGTAATCCCATCACACGCATTTGAAGGACTTAGGGATGCCTTCATCATGTAAGTTGGCAACATTTTCCATAGGCTTCTCTTAAATTTCGTCCTAGAGATTCTATCATAAACCTCCATCCCTAATAACATCTTTTTACAATAACATGGAAACGTGTCACAAAAAAATACTATTGGTGAAAAAAAAACACTGAGGAAGGATAAACATAGCACAGTATATAAAAGATTCTTCAAAAAGGTATGATTTTCAGCAGTTGTTTAACAGATCCCATCATGAAATATTAACCATGTTGGAGAGAACTGGATACAGCTGGTGATAGGCACTTCTGATTGGCAGAGGAGATAGGTTTCTATCATAAAATATTATCAGTGCCATGACAGCTGAGGCATTCTGTGACTATACGTTTACATAGTACCCAAATAATACCTGGTCTAGTGGAGGGTGTCCCTGCCCATGGCAGGGGGGTTGGAACTAGATGGTCTTTAAGGTCCCTTCCAACCCAAACCCTTCTGTGATTCCATGAAATAAGGCATTTCTTCGGTGTTTCGCACCGCAAGAGAAGCATGGCAGGGGATCAGTCAAACTGAACCTTTTCTTGGATCTTTTGGTTTACAAGTTCTGTGATTTTGCACACCAGGTCTGTGCTGCTTCCCCTCCCTTGGCTTTGTACCTATTTTATATCAGGGAGTCAGACCAGGAGGCTCATCAGACCACTTTTGCCCTGATTTCTGTGTTATTCCAGCTGAGAGGTGGTAGTCTTGGGCCTCCATTATTTATTATTTTTCATTTTATCTGCACTGCATGGTCTGTAAAGGACAAAGTTGATGACACAACAGGGGAGTGACCTCCCCCAGAACCTAAGCAGCAGCACAAATGATGCCCCTTTCTTTTTGAGGTGTGCCTTTTATACTTCACCTGTGAAAAGCACACAGTGCATCAGATATTAAAATATATATTAGATGTTCCATAATTTATTGTCAAGGAAACAAAAAGAGAAAGTAGGAAACCCTTTCGTGGTGCATTCCTGAAGGCAAAGACTTGAAGGATGAGGGTAATGCAAATGCCTGAATAGGCTTAACTTAACTAATTTAGCTTTTAGTGCTCATTGGTTAAACGATTTTGGCCAAACTATAAACTTATGTGTTCCTGGATCTCTAGCAAGTAGAAAATAAGCTAATCTCTGCTGTGCATTCCACTGCAATAAAGTGCAATCCAATGGCACTATATTCTTGCATTCACTTGCACCTTAATGATTAACGAGAATTTATCATTTTCAGATGGGAGACCAACTTAAATCTACAAAGTTTCTCTTACTCATGTGACTTGAGGCTAAACTTTCCCAAACTGTATGCATATACTATTCTTCACAGGGAATTTTATATTCATTGACATCTTCCCTTCCATAAAGAGAATTTAATTGATTTCCTTGCATTCTTTTAATGTATCTCTCCAAATTAACAGCATAGAAATCGATGTATTTGTCTGAAGTAAATCTATAGAACACTTCATAATTTTGTTGAGATTTAGCGTTACCTTGAAAGATGCATATTTTTAAATTATATATCTCTAAAACATCCATTCGGCAACTTATCCCCAACTGCAAATCAGATGATAATCTATTCTTGCTGCCATAGCTCATTCAAACATATGTAAATGGAGAGCCTGTGGCAGACAGGATGGATGCCATGGAAGGACCATGTTTCAGACCCCAGACCTGAAAGAGTCCAAGTTCTGCAGGCACTGATCCCTCCCAGCCCACGAGTCTCCGAGGATCAGGCACTCAGCAGGCCACTTGTTCTACATCCATCTTTCATTTATGAGTAACTATTGCAATACTGAAAATAACAATCTCACTGAATTCTGATTATGGAAAAAGTCCTGAATATTTCTGTGAGAAATACATATTTAATATGTGATTTCTAGTGTGCATCCCCCTTTGCCACTACAAATAACAGAAAACAAGCCATTCCGGTCTGAGGAGTTTTATATCGACACCCATAGGAATTCTTTTCTCATAATTACAACTGAAATATGACAGCTGTCAGGACTGTGACAATACTCACTCTGATTTTGTAGATGCATTCCATTTTTTTAGATTTTTTTTTTCTTGACAGTGTACAGTCTTAGGTTTTGTTTGTGTGCCCTCCCAGTCAATTCTGTCAAGAGAAAACACTGTTTTGAAGACCTTTCCCCTATATATGCATCAATATATGCTGTTTACTTTCAGGAGTCTGTTTTGCGTAGCCCCATAAATCTTAATCTAGCAGATATATAGCAAGCAACGTATAAGTGGATTTTTTTTCTCTATATTCAACATTGGTTATTACTAACTACATGCGTGGAATAGGAGCTGCAGTACCTCGAAATCCAACAGTGCCTACAAAACCAGTCATGTTGGTCAGTGCAGCGATGAAAAAGAAACAATTTCGGTTCACACACATGTAACAGAAATGGCATTTAAATCCAAAAAACTATTCGTAAAGGGCAATGAATGAATATTTGTGTATTTCTACATCTGGGGATTTGATGATCATCACCCTGACTTAATAATAGCGTACGAAGCACCGTGAGCATCATCTACCTCCTTGCCCATGCATGTAAATGCAAGACAGATGATAGGAGCAAAAGGCTCAGAGGCTCAGGCTCACCCTGTTTACATTAGTTCTGGCCCCACATCGCAACCTTACCTACAGTTTACTGGGAAAAGGAGCCTGGCTGTTACAGAGATACTTGTTCCAAAGGGTTGGCATACCCCTTTGCCAAGCAAAAAGCCGGTCTCTCTCAAACCCTCCTGGCACCCGCTCTCAAGATGCCTAAGGTGAGGCACGAACACTGCTGCCAAATAAGAATTGGCTCGGAGTGGGGGTATGAACAACTACGTAGGTTAAAAAAATACAAATATGGCTTTGTGTCTGCCTTTTTCGTTACAGTGAAATCTCCCAGAGTGACTCCCTGGAGAGAATAGAAGCCAGCGCTTTTGACAGCCTTCCCACTCTGTCTGAAATGTAAGTGTCAGTTACAAAAAGGCACCCATATCGTGATTCGGGATCATCAAGGAGTAAACGGCCTGCAGAGAAGTATTCTTGGGAAGAATCTTCCTCTGCCGCTTCGGCTGGCTTTGGATTAGATGTGTGACGAGAAACATTGCTCTCCAAAGTACCATATAGAACAGCGAGCGCGCCGCACAGCCTAGCCTCGGAGATCTAAATCATGCAAAGACATCCATGCATAGGAAGTGCCACCACTCTCGGTGAGCTCGATGGCAGGAATGGAGCTCTGCGTCGGCTTCTGCCGGCACTGTCGGGCTTTCTAAGTGGGAAAATAATTCGAGATGACAAGGGATGAGAAAAATCTTCCTTTTTGAAGATGCGGTTTTCAAAGCCCTACAGTATTTAAATACAGCTGCTTAGTATGCATAGCTCCTCTTCTGAGCGCTGAAATATTACTCAAACAGAACATGTACTGATTTTAAACTTGACCTGCATAGCACAGGCATTTGAGAGAGAGTGAGTGAAAGCAATGACTAGGAGAATGTTCTGAAATATTTAGTGAAATTGGAAACTATAAATCTGATTCAATATCTCATTACTGCCTTTTTCACACAGCATGATCAGCAGGTGGCTTAAAAATGGTGCAAGTGAGTGAGGAGAAATAAGTCTTTATTTTCCTCCTTATATGTGAACTCCATCGAAGCCAGTTACTTGCTCACACAAGCAACAGATAGAGTTACCCACCGCTGACCGGGTCCGACACCCACTAGACTCAATAGTGGGCTTAGGGAAGGAATGAAGGATTTTATTACAGATAGCTTGTCATCTGCCAACACCAAAAAAGCTAAGGAAGGCCATTATAAAGAGCTACAGAAGGCTAACAAGAAAACCTGCTTCAGCCTTGACTGCTCTGCACGCCCCACATTGCATGATGCCCCACACTGCTCTCAGCCGCTCTCGATGGATGGTCAGGGTAGGCGGGTTCAGTGTCGTTCTTGGATTTGAACTCCTGTTGCAGTTTCATATGCTAAAACCTTTAGATTTTGTAAATCATGAGTAGGGAGGGAGCTTGGCTAGAGCTAAGGGGCTTTTATGCAGACATACAGGTTGAGCAGGTAGTACAGCTGCAGAAAGCACTCCTTGATTGAGACGGTCTGTCCCGTTTTTTGGGTGACCGGTAGCAAATAGTGTTTCTCTCGCGCTTATCTCCACCTCCCAGTTTCTGCAGACGTAAGCAGGCATCTGGTGCTACTCGGCACTGCTCTAGCAAAGACCATGGTGCTCTAAGAAGTTACACCACCTGTGGAACTGCCTTTTCTGGCCAGGCAGAGCATCAGTAACATGATGGAAACAAGGGGTGATGCCGAGGGATCCGACTGCAGGGCAAGGACCGGGCACACACACACACAGAGCTCAGGCTCCTTGCGCAGCCCCACCTCCAAGAGCACCGGCGGGAGGCACCGTCATTGCGATGGCAGGATGCTCGTGCCGCTGAGCCCCTGCGGCAGGGCAGAAGCTCAGTGCCTTGGGCACGCCACGAGCTCAGGACGCGTATCCCAAAGAACCGGCAGACGGTGGCAAGATGCTCGCTCCCACCAGTGACCAGGATATCTAAACCAGCTCATCTCAGCTCAGTGAGCCATGAGAATTCAGAAGCTACGATCTTTTGTCAGCCACCTAGCAATTACTGGCCATTTTTATTACCAGTAGGGCTTCGAAAGGCGCTGTGGTGTCTTTTCAGAAAGCTTGTTCACAGCAGGAGAGCATTCTGCCATGTTCTGCACTTGACTCTTTTCTGACAAGGCCAATCACTAGCAAAATTCAGGACCCTCCCGAATGTATAACCGTTATAATACCGAGATAACTTTTCCCTCATTACAGATTAATCCTGAACACGAAAAATCTGTTGCACATCGAGGACGGAGCATTCAGAAACCTTCCAAGGCTAAAATACTTGTAAGACAGAGTTCTGTTTCTTTTCTGTTTGCCTTTCCCCCGCCTCCCTCAAAGGAGTGGACAATTTACAAAAAGGGATATAAGGAAAAAAGTTTTTCATGCATTACAGTACGCTATAAGTACAGACATCATTTACAATAGCTTTAACGGGCAGTTAACCAATTGTGAGGTCTTCCAATAGGCAACAAAATAAAGTAAACCAGGGCAGGGCAGTAATGGACAAAACAGTAGTAAAGCCTGCAAATGAGTTTTGCTATGCACTTATGTCTCCAAGAAAGCTTTCAGATAGACAAAATACTGTGCAAAAGGGGTAACTAAAACCTCCTCCTTGTGCTTCATGTAGAGAGAACATATGCTGCTTCTCCAGGACACTGCTTGAGGATGCTACAAAACCCAATTTTTACAGGTCTTACAAACACAATTGGAGCCTAATTAAAAATTATATTTGTCACTCACCTTTTAATACATCGTTAAACTCATACCTCCTGAGTTGGCTTTTTGTTGCATCCACTCTGGTAATCTTTTCTCTTGTAAACAGGAATTATGCTTTTCTCTAGGAGCATTTGTAACACTGGAATAAGACAATTTCCAGACCTGACACAGATCTTCTCATTAGAAGCTCATTTTATTTTGTAAGTAGAGATCCAACCTAATCCAGCTGTGAGACTTTCCATCTTGTTCCTGGATCATTGACAAAAACACCTGTTTTTTTTCCCTCCCAAAGGGAGCTCTGTGATAACTTGCGTATGACAACTATACCCCAAAATGCTTTCCAGGGAATGAACAATGAATCGCTGACACTGTAAGTAAAACAGTCCTAGCTCCAGTTTCTTCTGTGAGGATAACACCTCTGCTTGAGGAGAGCAGCTCGGCTATAGAAAAATCTCAAAATTAAGCCTCGTATCGTACGTGTCTGTATTATGAGTTGAATTTGAAACACTTAGGAAATAGAGGGGTGTTCTTCAAGCTGAAGAGTATTGTCCCAAAGCTAAGTTCACTTAGGAAATAAAATATGAGAAGGAATCCAAATCCTCATCTTCCATGCAACACTGTTTTTAGAAGTACCATCAAACGGACATAAACTCCAAACACTGCACTGGAGGCCAGAGTCTCTCTGCATCCCTCAGGGATGAGGTTTCTTGAAACAGTGCTTTCACATACCAAACAGGCTGACACTACACATCAGGTTGCCTCCAAAGATGAGGAATGTACAAACTGGTACAAAGTTGTTCTTACCCTGACTTCGCTTGACTTGGCTTACATCGATTCCCATAAGTCTCCCCAGTTCCTTTTAACAAACTGTGGACTCATTTGATGCCAAGTGAGATCCCCCAACAAGGAATGCAAAAGGCAGCAGAAAGCCAAGGCGAGGTGTCATCTGCCAGCACAGCAAGAACCGTGTATGGATTTTGCAGCACCCTTGTCCTCACAAAGCTTCCACCAAGACGTGCTGAAATAGGAAAAATCCCAGACTGAGCCCCTCCGAGAATGTAGCTGAAATGGGGGTTTCCCCAGGAAGGAACAGCTGAGTATTGGAGGGCAGCAGCAAGCCACCTGCTTGGTGTTGTAGCCACGAACACCAATTTGGAGGCCACTAAAGGCAACCTTTGCAGACCAGACCAATATTTAAAAGGCAGTACACATCCAGGTGGAGAGCCTTGACTTGAGACAAGTCTGTACCAAAACCCCCTCCAAAACTCCATCGATATTTGCACCTGCACATGAGCTGTGCACACACGCAGGTACTGCAGTTGGCTGGATTGGGCCCTTCATCAGGCTGATGTGCCAGCCTGACAGTAATTTCAACACAGATTTTATGTATTGACCAGTACTTTCTGAAACCATTAAAGGAACTGAGCATAAACATGACTGAAGACTACTCCACGCAATGTTAAAGAGGAGCAATTGCTTAGTTTAGGGCATCATTTCATCTTACGAGCCTCCTTCCTACCAGCAAGTTCTCCAAATAACTTCAGCAAAATTATGACTCTATTAATGGTGCAAGAAAATGAACATTCAAGAGATGGAGAAAGGTGCTTAAAATTTTTACTGTAACCCTCGAGTGTATTAAATGGGAGGGAGCCTCACTCAGTCAGGAAACAGCCAACAATCATTCTTCTCCCATCCTTTTGTGACAGGGAGCTCACCACGAGAATTACCTTATCAGCAGCTTCCTAATTGCAGAGCTACATGTTAACTCCACCCCATGCAGTTAAGAGTAATTAGCTGAAATAATTCCAGTTGTTGCAGCATGGTCTGGTGAAACACAAGCAATCTATGAAGGTGTAAAGTCAGCCAGAAGCAATACTGTGCACGACAAACGGCTAATTCAGTCTTTCCAACAGTTAGTGTTTCATGTGGATGGGGAAATTGACCCTACATATCAGTGCGGTTCTTAAGGAAATCACTAATTTCAGCATTTTGCTGAGATAGACCCCATTTTGTAGCAGTTGTAGCCGGGCGCTCCAGAGCCCACACTTCCAGCTGCTTTTCTTGGAAGCAGGTTCCAGAGCCCCAGTTTCTGCTCTCCCCAAAACAAGTGCAAAAGCAAGAACAGCACTTTTGTTTCATTTATCAACTGCACCAAATTTTCTATTAGGGCTTAATATTAAATATAGAAAATACTATATATAAACAATTATGCTGAATTGATAGGGCAAACATGAACTTAATATCACAAATGGATTTTTCTCAGTGAAAACAGACCCACAAATTAGATCTGCTAATTAAGTAGAAGAGCTGGACTTCAGGTGTAGCAGCGCTCAGCCGTCAGCTCTCTGGCCCCAGGGTGGGGAATCAGGAACCCAGGGTGGCACCAAGCGTCCCTGCGTAGCGCAGGGGACAGCAAGGTTTCCATGGCACGAATCAAGCCGGCAGCAGTACTCTGGAGGGGTCGATAGCTCGCTGGCCACTGGATGATGCACAGCTCACCCCTACTTCTCTGCAGAGTGCTCTCTTGGGCTGCTGGGAGATGTACCGGCCTGCAGAGGATCTGCAATCCAGCAGCACCCTCTGGGCTTTAGAGTTGCTTTCCATCTGACACTCCTCTACCCCTTTCCATTTATACATGCTGACACCACAAAATCCAGGCCTTCTGCCTTCAGGTTGTTGTCTGGGTGCCAGGAACTTCCCTGGAATAATGTCTTGTCTCTGGATCTCAGCCCAAGATGGGCACAGGTCAGCGCTTCGCAGGAGGGAGGGTTTGTAGGTAAGCAGGAATTCTCTTCAACAGCTAAACAGGAAGGTGCTTAGGGAATTTAAGATGCAATTTTATCTTAATTTTAGAGTTAATGCAAGCCATGCAATAGTTACCTTTGTTCTTTATCAGCAGACCCTCTAATCATTAACATGAGTGCAGCATTAAGACTTGAAACCTATAGTACCTTGTCTTTTTTTTTAACCAATCTATGAGAGCCGTCATAATCTCATCTTTTCCCAATCTTTTTCCTTTACATGTTTGGTTATTTTTTAATCCTCAGCAAATTGTATAAGAATGGATTTGAAGATATCCACAGCCACGCCTTCAATGGGACAAAGCTGAATCAATTGTGAGTATGTTTCCTCTCCGCAGGTTCTGGGGTTTTTTTAATGGCAAATAGTTCAAATACAGTCCGAGGCTCTTCCCTCAGCTCAGCTGTGTCTTGCATTTCCTGATACCTGTTAGAAAACTGCGTGTGGCAGTGTCATTGCAACTCAGTTGTTAATCCTGCAGCACTTGCTGCTTTTCCTGAAACACCATCCCTTAGAACGCTGCAGTTTTTATGAGAAAAGCGCATCATTTTTAATAAAATGTAATTAAAAATAAGGAGCAGTAGTGGCAAGCTGGAAACCATAGCCCAAGCTGAGGAACCTCCATTTTATATCTGGAAACATCAATAGTTTTTTAATCCCTCACACTCTGGGATTAGCCTCTTGGTTTGGGCAGAACTTTCGCTGCATTTTTGTATGCTGCTGCTGCGGTGAAGGAACCAGACCGGTTGTTTCTGGTTTAAGTCAGAAGAAATTGGATTAAATGAATTTAAATGAGTTGGATTAAATAGAATTAAATGTAGATGGTGATGGTCTGATGGCATCAGCGGAGGGAAAGGTTGCATGAGAAATACAAGAACTCCCAGAACAGATACTGCAACAACCACTGCTGTGGTGGGAGAAAGCATTGAAATAGATGGGGAAAAGAAACCAAAAGAGGGTTATTTTAAAATACAGATGTAAAGAGAGTTAATGTTTGATTCCACAGAATCCTGAAGGACAATAAGAACCTCAGGTGGATACACAACGACGCCCTGAGAGGGGCCACAGGGCCAGATGTCCTGTAAGTACCCAGACCTCTGTTACCCGGGATTACGGGTGTCCCAAGGGAACGGCACTGTGCTGCATGGCCTGCGTCACCTCAGCAAGCGTAGCTTCGGGTCTGGAAGGAGACTTGATCTCTTACCCTCCACCCATAAAGTGGAAACGTGTCAATGAGATGCCATGAAATTACAGGCCAGAAGGGCTCCGTTCACACCATGACAAGCACGTATCAGCCAGTTCTAGCTCTGGCATTGACCTCCACACCTCTTCTATATTTCAGCCTTTGCTTTATTTGTGCCTTCTAACATTGCAAACTCGCTCATCTTTTGGTAAGATGAGTACGTTTTTACAAGATACTATTTTAGAATTTGGTTCTGAAAGTGAACTAGCTGATTGCATGCTATGAGCCTGTGCTGAATAAAACACATTATCATCATCCTCATGCTTTATTAATCAAGTACTTACTGGAGGGCTGCACTGGCTGTAACTCCATGCAATAAAACCCAGTGGGTGGTTCTGTAAATAGCACTCAGTGCTGCACGTGCCGTTCTGTTCCTTTCCCTGGTGCTTTACAGCACATGGCATTACTAATAGCACTTTCACACTTGCAGCCTTTTTTCCGCTGTTTTCACTGTGAAAACCCCTCACCATGTCAATGGCCTTTCCTCACACAAACAGCCCCTCTGAAGTTACTCTAAGCCAAACTTCTTAAGTTTGCCTTGGCAAGAATGATGGATTCTTTTATGTGTTTTAATTAATAACCATTTAATTAAAACACCTGGGACAGCCCTTCATAGCCATGCAGGGAGCCAGGAGGGTATCCTACCTGTTAGCCGGCTGGAGAGTCACATTCACCCACTTTCTCTCCCTTTCCCTAAAGAGCCATCCCTCACCCTGTGGCACAGTGGCTTTCAGAGTGGTGAGGCCACAGCCCTTGGAGTAGTGGGCTTCAGTTTTCCCAGGACAAAGTAAGCTCCTTGCTCTCGCTGAGGCTCCTGGGCCACGGGGATGATCTTGCCCCGCTGCTCTGTACTTTGACAGAGCACGTTTCTGAGCTGGGCATCAGGTGCTGGAGCAGCTTTGCAGATTTAGACCTTTGTTAAAAAAAACAAGTCGCTGTTACCTGCCATCAGTGCTTTGGTGGTATTTTGGTACCTATGAAAAAAGAAAAGAGAACGCTGTCTTTATTTCTCAGGGATATTTCTTCAACGGCGCTGGAGTCCCTGCCTAGTTACGGGCTCGAGGCCATTCAAGTCTTAAATGCAACATCGTCTTACTCGTTAAAGAGACTGCCACCGCTGGATAAATTCAGCAGCCTTCTGGAAGCTGTGCTAACGTACCCCAGCCACTGCTGTGCTTTTCGAAACCTACGGACAGAAAAGTAAGTCCAAACAGCACACTGTTATATTGCAATGCTTCAGAAGCTCCAAAATGGCAATTCTCCTTTCTTCAGATCCCGAGGTTTGATTATCCTTATTCTGGTTTCAAGGAAGCTGGGTTACGTAGCAAGGCCTTGCACAAAACAACAGATCTCTGCTAAAGCCAGGAAAATTATGTCCATTTATTTCAGAACAGAAATGGATCCCATCCTGTGCCCAGGATCTGCCAGCAGGAACATTATTCTAAGTTTGCTTAAAGCTTATACTTTTCTTGCTATCTCAATTTAAAAGCCTACTGGCATATGAAGGACAGATCTCCATCAGTATCATGTTGCCCCGTGCCCTCCAAAGAGACACTTCCCACCTGTAGCCTTTAGCTATGTAGTTTATTGAATGCAAGTGATATGATAACCAAGTAGAAAAGGCAGGCTTTCAATTACCCACCGAAATTAGGACCCGACACAAGCCTATAAAAAAGAGGTTACTCAGTTTAGTTCCAGTCATTTCAGATAACAGACAGTATTGTTCTCCCCACAACTGGAAACCGTGGTGCAGAGAGAGCTTTGCATCTGCTAATTCAGAGCAGTCAATTCGAGACAACTGAAGCTAATTTTTCAGAGTTTTTGTTTCAAAGAAATCAACCCTCGGTTGGCTTTAGGCAGCCAAAGCCACTCCAAATGGGTTTAGTTGAACTTATGAGTTTGCCTCGTTTCTGGTCTGTCTCAAGTGAAGGCTACAGAAAAAAGTGACTGAGCAGTCACTTGTGGAAAGCCTGATCCGTCTGATTCGCATATCATCGCACCAGGACAGGGCTGCAAAGGCAGAGGTAGAATCCAATTCTTCAGGGTAAAATTAGGGGTGATGCTACTCTTTCTCTGCCTACCTCATTGTACTAAGTGGTCCCTGCTTCTGCAAGAGTAGAGCAAAGATTGTACAGTCAAGGGTTTCCATTGCTACCAAACTGATTCAGTCCCAGAACAAGTCCTGGAGCGTATTAAATGCAGAAGCAACCCTGGGACAACAACAACAACCAAAACAAAACAAAAAAAAAAAAAGAAAGGCAAAAAAGATTGTTTATTCATTCTGATGAAGATAACTATGTTTCTGATATTAATTTCCAGGCGCTTGAATTTGCAACACAATCATGCTCTATAAAAACAAGGGTGCTTTTGTAAGTCACTTTTCTGTATGTAGTGACTGTTTTCTTAGTAAACTAGGGGGAAAAAAAAAAACCACCACCTGCAAATCAGGAAACTAGACTGCTCTCCCCACTGGGGCATCAGCAGGGTTCAGAGCAGTGCTGGTGCATTCCCTATCTGCACAGCCCTGGCCACTGCAAAAACCTGTACAAGTAACAGGCTGTTACCTTCTTTGTGACCAGCTACCCCAAAGGTGTGAGATCTCTGGCTGTTTACCCTGTAATCTGGAGACTGAGACCTCCTCAAGACTTTCCCAGCTTACACAGGGAAGATTCTTTGTGTGGTTATGTATTCTTATGGTCACGCAGGTGCAGCCTGTTTCTGTCTCTTACTACCCCATTCTGTTGTCCTGTACTCCACATACAGTCATCCCAACCAGTTTTAATGACCCCTGCCTATTCCTGTTCCTTACCACCTATGGACTGCACTATCTGACCAGTGGGATATGGTGACAAGGTCTTGCATACATCTGGCCAGGAAAGCAGGTTCGCTTATGTCAGTATCACGGGAATTAGGGAAATAAACTCCTCAGACACAATGTTCTTGAGGTTTCTGGGGTACAATTGGGGTGTGCTCATTCCCTCAGCCACATAAGAGAGGTGGAAGGTAGCACTCAGTTCCCTAGACTTCTTCCACTGGACTGAATGGAGGGTGGTGATTCTTTTAAGGGTACACAAAAGAGTTTAGTGGGTTTACCAGCTCTTTCTACTGTCACAGCAATGAGGTCAGACAAAGCCATTTCCACTCGTGCTGGTAGAATACCTGAACCACACTTTCCAGGCCTCAAAACCAGAGATTTTTCCAAATCTGTTGTCTTTTAACTTGTACTTGTGAAATTACATGCTGGAAGTAAAGCAAAGTCTACCTCCAGATCCCAAAGAGTTTTTAGACCAGAGTATCAGGCAGCTTCCCAGCATTTCTTAGCATGCACTTCTCCAAAAGCCAGCGTAACTGCTACCACTCGTACTGGTGGAGAATCTGGCCCACTTCAATATTGCATACAGCAAAGCAAACCTTTTAATTCCAGCCCAAGTTGTTTCACTATAAAAAAAAAACCATAATAACTGAGCTGAAGACCATCCTTACACCCTCCGTACAGTACTGCCTACTGCCACAGTATTTGACCTCTTCCCTTCCCCACTTCCAGAGCTCTACATGAACATTCATACTGCCGTGAGGTCAGCTCTACCTTACCTTACGTGTCAGTGCAGATCACTTGCAGAGAAGACAAGAATTTGGCCAAAATCCACACAGAAACTCAATTTTCTTTTCACTGTTCTTTCAGACAAAATTCCTTGCTTTCCATTTTCGACAACTTCTCCAAAGAATGTGAAAGCACCATGCGGAAACCAGCTAATGACATACTGTAAGTGCCTCTCTGTATACAGATGTTGGAAGTAGCGGACACAGGCTCCCCCTCCTGCTGTTCACATGCGGTTTCTAGAATAGCATGCCTTTCGCTGCCGATGCGGTCACCCTTGCAAGTTGCACAGTGGTAATTTTACTATCACTAAACCAAGATTAGCGATTTTGATGTTCAAAAGGAAAGAAAAAAAAAACCACATCATTTCATGAGCTTTACTCACTCCAGCTTCTCTTCTAAATTCTTGAAATACTTTCAAAAACAGTGATTAAATATTTAAGAAAATTAATGGCCTACACGGAGACTTTTCATGCCCTGCAATAATTGCAGTTGTTTGTGTGATTCAAGGAAGAGCTGCTGCTGTTAATATTTTTTTTGCCTACAGGAAGGCTAATTAGTAGCCTGTATGTCAGTAGGTTTCTGTGGGAGAAATGGAGTCACCAAGTTTGATGACTCCATGCTGTTGGTTTGCCTTTTCTAAATGTGTCTTTCCATACCATCAAGTTCTGTTGGACAGCGTTCAAGTGGGACAATGAGAAAGGCTAACATCAAAACTGCTGTTGGCCATGCTGAACGCCCTAAACCAGTAGCTAATGGAGAAGTTTAAGGATTTGCAACTATGCATCTCTCTACAGCTAAATGGGTGACCTTGGGACTTCTCATCAGCCCTGTGGTGTTGACAGAGCATTGCAAACTCCAGAAAAAACAAGGTTACAGTCACAAAATCCCAACAGCTCAATACAGCTGAAATGCAGCTGATTCACTGGGATGCAGATTCGCTTAGACATTATCTTGTTCGTTGATTCACAAGGCCTCCTACACCTGCTGTTTAGTTTTATTCAGCCTTTTATAACGCAACGGCTACCTTGGTTCTCTTACCACCACTTCTCATTAGCTGCCTGCTTGCAGCTCATTCGAGTGCCTTGCTTAGTCGGCCCTGTCTGCTCCACTCCTAATTGCAAAACTGAAGCACTTCAGGACTACAAAAAGGCAAAGTCCAGGCAGTCAACAAGACCAAGAATATATTGCCTCTATCAAGGGTGCCTGTGGGGAGAAGCAAGGTGATGCAAGGAGGCAAATGCAGAGCATCAGATCACACTGTAAAGGCGAGTGAAGTGACACCCCGGTGAGGAATATAATCACACAAATCAGCAGTGCCTACAGCAGAGTAATCCCCCTGCTTCAGATTAGCATCTGTTGTGCTTCTGCTGTGCATTTAATAGTCTGCCCAGTATATTGGATCCTGAAGCTTTTTGCTGTGATAAGTCCCAATCCCAGCAATTCTCTGAGCAGGCATTATATTAAGCAAATAGAAGTAAGGTCATGATTCATGGGCTGAAAGGCTGCAAGTTGAAAAGTTTGGGAACCACAACAGGAATTGGCTGAAAGTCCCAAGCTCTTACTAGAAGAATAAACAGCCTGCACATGGCAGCACGTTTACATGGCCTCACAGAAAAATTAGTCATTTTCATTAGAGTCAAACAAATTCCCTGCTCTTCCAGCTTAATCTGGGCTGGGCAAGTAGAAGCAAGACACTGGGCAGATTTTCATGGAAGGAGAGTTAGGATAACAAGAGTGGAAAGTTATTTGCCCATCAGGAATAGCTGAAAAACAGCTCAGCTTCATTTGCCAGTTAAGACCCTGCACCAGAAAAACAGCACATGCTTCAATAGATGTGGAAGGCTAAGCATGTATTGAGGTTATCCCAAAGCTGCCAGCTTTCTGAAGAGTTGTCCTCAACAGAGATGTTTTTCAGGTCTCACGCTGCAGATTGTTTGCCCACCAAACTCTCACAGTTGGGATGACTGGAGGGTTGTGCAATAGGTACTTGTTCTGGCAGGAAATCAGAAGGGACAGTGCTTGTTTTTAAAATATTTCTTCTTTGGTAGGCTTATGCCCACACTATTGATGACCTGGAGATTAGAGAGATCTATTTTAACTATCTAGAAACGTTTGTAATTAGGCATTGGGTCCAGTCTAAACTTAATATATTCCTAGCCACTGACATTACCTAGTTATCCATGCACTTCTTACTTTATAATACTGCAAACAGACTCAGCATTTCAAGTCGTACATAGTCTCAGGATTTTGTTCAATAAGTGCATTTCCTAAGGGAGGGGAAGGTGCACAGTTGAAATCCTTAGGTCATTTTACTTTGGCTTCTATAACTGTCTGATAAACCTGTATGCATCAAACCTATAATCCATCAATTCAAGCGTTACGGTAGTTTGAACTGCAGTCTACCGGCAGCATGAGAAAGATGGCTCACTTACAAAGCAATCAAGGTAAAGTACTTACAAATTGTATAGTACAAGTTGTACAAGAAAGCGTTCCCGTGGATGTGCCTGTGACCTCTGCTGCTCTCCAAGGCTGCTATCCCAACAAAAGGCATCATTATATATAAACACCCTGTAGAAACACAGGTAGGAAGTAACTGGTTTAAAACATCTGTTACCTGTTGTAGTTTACAAAAGAGTGTGAGCAGCATGTAACAAGTAGTTCACTTCTATTTGCGGAGGTGTGTTTTTTTTAATAATTACAGGGATTACTCTTACAACACATCACTGTGGTCAGCGGAAAAGAACCCGTACCTGTTCACAACAGATGAAGAAACCTCTCCTTACAGCTACTCAGCCGTTTTTGATGACGGTGAAATGACCGACTTGGACTTTGAGTATGACTTTTGTCAGCCAAAGATACTCACGTGCACTCCGGAACCAGACGCGTTTAATCCCTGTGAAGACATCCTGGGATACAGCTTTCTCAGAGTGCTGATCTGGTTCATAAACATCCTTGCCATCGCCGGCAATTTCACTGTGCTCCTCGTGCTTGTAACTAGCCATTACAAGCTCACTGTTCCTCGCTTCCTCATGTGCAACCTCTCCTTTGCCGATTTTTGCATGGGACTGTACCTGCTGCTCATCGCTTCGGTGGACGCCCAGACCAGCGGTCAGTACTACAACCACGCCATAGACTGGCAGACGGGCAGCGGCTGCGGCACCGCCGGCTTTTTCACCGTGTTCGCGAGCGAGCTCTCGGTGTACACGCTGACGGTGATCACCATAGAGAGGTGGCACACGATCACCTACGCCATGCAGCTGGACCGCAAGCTGCGCCTGAGGCACGCCGTGCCGATCATGCTTGGCGGCTGGATCTTCTCCATTCTGATAGCCGTGCTGCCACTCTTAGGGGTCAGCAGCTACATGAAGGTCAGCATTTGTTTACCCATGGATATTGAAACGGGTCTTTCCCAAGCCTACATACTGCTAATCTTAGTGCTAAACGTTGTCGCCTTCATCGTCATTTGTGCTTGCTACATTAAGATTTACATAGCTGTGCAGAACCCGGAGCTGGTAGCTGCCAATAAAGATACCAAGGTCGCCAAGAGAATGGCCATACTGATCTTCACGGATTTTACCTGCATGGCCCCCATCTCCTTTTTTGCCATATCCGCTGCCTTTAAAGTACCTCTCATCACAGTGACAAACTCCAAGATCTTGCTGGTTTTATTTTACCCCGTCAACTCCTGTGCAAACCCGTTTCTCTACGCAATTTTTACCAAAGCGTTCCGAAGGGATTTCTTTCTGCTAATGAGCAAGCTCGGCTGCTGTAAGAGCCGAGCAGAGCTTTACAGGATGAACTATTTCTCTGCTTATAACTCCAACTGCAAGAACGGCGGCTCGGCCACAGCCCCCAGCAAAGCCTCGCAAGCACTGCTGCTCCTGTCGGCATTAGAGAAGCCGTATCCTGCAGTACCGCGCAAGATGTCCTGCAACGACAATTAAACCGGGGAGGCCCACAGATGCAGCGCCTGGCGAGGCTGGCTGTAACAATCCTCCCCACTAGGAATTATTTTATATTATCTTAAACGTTTCCCAGTAAATAAAAATGCCGATCTCTAATTCTTATGCAACGCAACCGTTCTGACTTTCCAAGTGGTGTTTTCCCTTTTCTTCTTTTGTAACAACAGGCATGGAAGGTGACTATTAGGCAAAATTCTTCTTTGGGGGGGACCAGGGGATCGCAGGAGTAGCCAAGGTGCTCTTGAAGTTAATGGGTACTGCAGTTTGGCTCCTTTTTCTCCAGATCTCCTTCTCTGGGTTATTTAAAGCCTGTCTGCTACCTTTCATGCCTTCTTTTTCCATTCCTATCAGTTGTGCTGGCACTGTTGGATTAAAGAAAGGGGCGCTAAACTAGATGCCTCCCTTCATTTCATCAACAGAAACTTCCAATTACACAGCCACCTACAGCCGGTTAAAGAAGAGCGTTCAAGCATTAGGTTGTAAAGATGTCACCAAGGGGAA